GGACCCGAACCTTCCCACATTGGCAGCTGGGGGGGTTTTTCTTACCACCCTTGGCCCTCTTTAAGCCGCTTTCCTGCTGCCTGGGGAGGAATTAAGCTAATCCCCTTTTGTGCCGGGACAAAACTGCCAGTGCCACGATAATTGCTCACCCCAACCACACTCTGAGAAGGGGCTTGGCCGGCAGAAAAACTGGGAGTTGAAAAACTGGGATATGGCCCTGCTGGCTCCCCGTGCCAGGAGCAAAGGGCAGCGGCAACAGGAGCCAAGAGGACTCTGCCCACACCAGACTTTACCCCGCGGAGACAGGTCCCAGGTGGAAAACCCTTCTGCACCCCCTTCTGCCGTTTGCCAGGACCTAAAATCCCACTTTTTTCCCGCCCTAAAAGACACACAAAGCCCCACCTGGAAGCCGTTGGGGTATCCATCGCCGTCACCAAGGGAGTCCAGGGGGTCTTCGTCGTCCAGCGTCGCCCGCTTGTAGGTTGACATCTGCACAGGGAGATTGGCAAACGGAGCACTCAGAGACTCGGGGTCAAGGAACAAGAGGAGGATGAGGAAGGTTTACACACCCTCTAGAGCCACCTCCTCCTCCGGGGAGCTAAATCCCGAACGGCTCCGGGGCAGTAAAACACTACACAGACGCCAGAGGAAGGTTATGGAAAGCAAAGAGGGCTGGAGCCAAAAGCTGAGCAAAGCCCGAACCCGCCTTGCTCTCCCCCGGGGTTGGGTTGTGCAACCTCCCCTTCAGCCTGGAGTAAAGCTGGATCCACCTCCACCCCTCAACAGGCAGAGGGATCTCCCCCAGCCCCCTGCCAGGGAACCCCGGTGTGCCGGGGACCTGGGGAAGGCTGGGAGCAGGGAAAATGGCTTTCCACCCCGAAACTACCAGCTCGCTCCTGCTCCACACCCTGTCTGTGAACCCTGCGCACCGCGGGACACCCGGCCAGGTCCCAGCGAGCACCCGAAAGCGACACCTCCCTGGATTTCAGCTGCAGACGGGCTCCCTCCCGGCGCCGTGCCCCCGGGCATTACCTTGTGCCAGTGCCCGGCTCTTATCTCATCCCCCAGCAGAAAAACAAGGAAAACCTCGAGGGTTGGCAGCCGGCCCTTATCGTGCTGCCGCCGTTTCCTTCCCCCTGGCACAGCCCTGCCACCCAGCTGGACTGCCTCCCGATGGAGAAAACAACCCTCCGCCCACTACTGAGGGGCTGGGCACCCCAAATCCACCCTGGCCCTGCCACAAGGGGCTGAGCACCCCAAAATCCACCCTGACCCCATCACTGATGGGCCAAGCGGTGCCAGTCATGTCCCTTCACCCCCGAGCAGTGCAGGGTGGGGGTTTGCACCCCTCTGGATGTCCCCATCCCGCTGCCATCAATCCCAAAGGATGAGATGATCCCAACCCGGCACAGCTGTGCCTCGGGCTCCCCTGGCAGGAGGAGATGCAATGAAAGTGCCGGTTCTCAGCCCCGTTTCCAACAGCAGCATTCCCAAACCTCCCCTTGCAGAGTTATCCCTCCCCAGATCCCAAATCCCAGCCTCAGCTTAATTAACCACACTACCCACCTGGGGAAGAAAAGTGGTTAAAAGAGCAAGGCGTTTTCCCTC